CCATTCACGTCCCCTAGTACCAAACTTGGTATAAGTGAAGCTTGCGAAACGGCCACCAGCACATCATGGGCGTGGCAAGCAGTCATGTTGTGACATGACATGCATCTCATGATTATCATGTTTACACCAGTATCATACCTTCGTCATCCATTCACGTCCCGTAATACCGAATTTGGTGTAAGACAAGCTAGCGAAACGGCCGCCAGCGCATCATGAGCGTGGCATGCAGTCATGTTGTTACATGACCCGCATGTCATCATTTTCACGTTAGGGTCTGTCGCTTGTGTTCGCCATGCAATCGTGTCATGCCATACCAGTTTTGCAACATTCCACGTGAACGAAACCAGCTCAAGAGCTGCAGGACCATGAAATGTAAATTATGAGATTCATGACATACGCGTTGTGATTTTCATTTTATGATTAGTCATATATGTTCTTCATACAGTCATGTTATACCATACCAAGTTTGGTATCGATATCATTATTTAAACGGATAGGAAAGCTAAAAGTCGTAGGCGGCTAGATAGATAAATGGATAAATGTCGCCGAAGTTCACTAAGAAATGCTTCGCGTTTAAAACTGGTGAATGATTTAGACTACTTGGCACATTACTGTGGGAGAGCGCTAGGCCTCTGAACCTTGCTAAAACCAAGGATATATGTTTCGAAAGAATTGTTAACGATTCAGAGCACTTGGTACTCTACTATGGGAGAGCGTATAGCGGTCCTGCCGTGGGCCTCCCACTTGATGAAGCCGCGTGGACTCTGTTTGTTAAAAATAGTTAACGATTCAGAGTACTAGGTACCCTACTATGGGAGAGCATAAAGCCGTCCCAAACGCATGAAAAATCTCAGAACGTAAGAGTTGCCGGAAATGTAATCAAGTGCGATGAGTGTTGACGATAGCCCTCAATGAATTCGGCCGTAAAAAACGCGCTGGCGGCATGCGTATTTGTATGCCCTATTTTTCAATAATTAATGCTCTTTCAATCATGGCTTTCAGGAATGTCAATCTCTCGCCATATTGCAATGTGACTTTTTATCAAGGTGGCGGAATGGTTGATTTTCGCTGTCATAATTCATTTTTGTGAGATATGAATGCACGCGTGAAGGAACGAAACTTGTGCGATGCTAAGCACATGTTCGAAAGCCCATTGCAGGAAGGAAACAGACGGGAACATTGCACAATGCTATAGAAAACATTTCAGCATGTCTCTTATACTGTGAAGCGATTGGCAGATCAGCTCTGGGCTGTCCACCAAGCCCGCGAGGCGGCTGAGGAGCTTGGCATCTCAGTCCCCACGTGGGAGCTGCCCGCAACACAGTGATCTGTGTTTTGGAGGACCAAATAAAGATTTATCCTATTCAGTCCAATCCAATCCAATCTTATACAGTGAGAATCCGCATTTTTTCACGAAGACGCGGCGCATTCATATCTATCTATCTATCTATCTATCTATCTATCTATCTATCTATCTATCTATCTATCTATCTATCTATCTATCTATCTATCTATCTATCTATCTATCTATCTATCTATCTATCTATCTAATCCCAAAGATACTTACATACATACATACATACATACATACATACATACATACATACATACATACATACATACATACGTACATACGTACATACGTACATACATACATACATACATACATACATACATACATACATACATACATACATACATACATACATACATACATACATACATACATACATACATACATACCCTACATACCCTACATACCCTACAAGAAAACGTCACCACAAATCAGAGCACGTAGTACGCAAATCAAAGCGACGCCTTCGGCTGCATGAAGGGATTGCCATGAGGCAAGTGTGTCGGTGTTCCATTTCAGCGCCTAGCGTGCCACGCAGCACAAATACAGAGTAAAGACACGACTAATGCGAGTGCCAACCTCCAACGTGTTTGTGTCCAGTAGCGTGACGCTCGCATCTTTGCGGGCAGAAGTAACAACCGGCAATTAGACGATGTCACAATTTTATACTGTGCAGTTGATGTCTGTTTTGGTTCTTTTGAGCTTATATCGTTGTGCGTATGTTACAAATGCGGTTGCGCAAGATCTTCACTCGTATATATGAGTCAGACGTCTGTGAAAAAATATACACTATCTACACCATCTACTTGCCTACACTATCGACTTGCCTGGCGTTCAGAATAACATGTATCTTTGTTGCTCTCTTTATCTTTCCATCCATTTTTTCTTCGCGTTTACATTTAAAGTCGATCTAATAACTTCCCCTATACTTTCCTTGGCATTATTGGCTGTTGGGTCTTATTAATATTGTGTGAAACACACACAAACGAGCCTTATCTGTGTGAAACACACACAAACGAGCCTTATCTATATGGGAAAAGGTGCAGGCTTCTTCAACACTGAATTGGTCGCGTTTCGACCGGAGACCGATCTTCGGTGTTGATGAAAATATGTCTCTGATCGGAGCTTTGTCTACGGCAATCGAAGACAGTTTTTTTTTTTTCATAATATACGTATAGATATATACGTATTCTGTTACTGGCCATCTTCAAAGAATTTGTTGCTGGTCCTGTTGGTGCAAAGTGCTTAAACGCATGCAGAGCGAGAATTCGGTGGAGAACGCACAACACAGGAGAGCACACGGCCACGGACGGACAAGTGCTTTTCCTGTGCTATGAGCGCGCTTTTATATCCTGCATCCCATTCGCGTTCAGCCATTTGGCCTTCTATGTATACTTGAGTATGTCGCAAAAGCCTTCTCTCCTTTCGGGCGTGCTGAAAAGGTATATGCGGTATTAATCTATCTCAATTTTCGATGTGCTGTTTATTGGCCTTTGCGTATGTGTCAGTAGTTTGTGCGCGGAACACGTCAGTTCTTCCTAAAATTATCCTGTTCCAGCAATCAAATAAATAAATCTGCAGATTTCTGAATGACTGCCTAATGAGCCAAATCACACGCGAGACCATCTTAGAAAACATTGCACTCATACGCACAATTTGCACTCACCTCATGGCATGGCAGCTACTTATATTTGTTTATATGTGAAAAAAAAAAGGGAGTAAAACCTGATATCTCAACCTCACAATATTGCTATTGCGAACACGCACATACGAAGAGCGAATAATACGAAAAAAAATTGAAAATAGTAGGAACAGTGCACACGTTCGATCTCTTACACATAAAAAATGATTGACATGTGGGGTTTAACGTCCCAAAACCACCATATGATTATGAGAGACGCCGTAGTGGAGGGCTCCGGAAATTTCGACCACCTGGGGTTCTTTAACGTGCACCCAAACCTGAGCACACGGGCCTACAACATTTCCGCCTCCATCGGAAATGCAGCCGCCGCAGCCGGGATTCGAACCCGCCACCTGCGGGTCAGCAGCCGAGTACCTTAGCCACTAGACCACCACGGCGGGACCTTACACATAAAAAATACGTCGATAGACAGAGTCGAATGAATACAGGGTAGTCACACACACTACCACTTGTAGAGTCCGTATAGATAGATTTCACGCACTTACATACTATATACATGAGTGAGTTTTACGCATTAGCGACGCAGTCTCCAGGTGAATCTATATTATCGACGCACCTGACTTTCAGAATAACATGCACCTTTGTTGCTCTCTTGTTCTCTGTTTTGTTTGTTTGTTTGTTTGTAGAGTGTGTTCTCGTTTGTGAACAAAAATCAGTGTCTACAAGGTGACTGCAGTATATGTCCACAAACGACACAACGTCCAGTTGAGTCTGGCTTTTCTAATCTCTCGACGCTCACAACAACATCACCTTCGTTGCTAATTACTTCTTCCTGTATTTCCTGAAACGTGCGTGTATTTGCTTCTAAACAAAAGTCCATATGTGCGTAGTACATATAAGGCAATGAAGATGTGTTCTAAATGACGAAAAAAAAAACTTATAATTCGACCGTTCCGTTATCTTCCTTGCCCTGTTTTTTTATCTAGTGTGCGTTTTGTTTGCCAACAAAAATCAGAGTGCAGAATGTTGGAGGAGGATGCATTTGGTACACATATATTTGTGCACTTGCATATAACATCACTATGAGATATGTTCATCAACGGCGCAATGTCCAGGTAAATGTCCGACGATTACAAAAACAATATCTTCGTCACTCTCTCCCTGTCTTTATCGTGTGTGTTTTCGTTGGCGCATGTAATATCAGCGTGCCGAGAAGTACAAAGGATGTTGCACATCCGCGAGAACTTCCGAGCCATTTAGGTCCATAGAATGACTTTCGCAAGCGACTACGGTCGCTCGAGCCATTAAAGAGCGCGTCTTGTAAGACACAAGTGAGTATGTCACCTATCCGTCTTACTATTCTTGCGTTTCTTTTATTTCCCGCGTTTGTTTGTTTTCATTTTGCTACTCACGTTTTATTTTTATTTCGCTGGCTGCCGTGAGTGAGCGAATGTTAATTTCCAAAATTAGATGACCGCGTTGTAGTTTTGTTAGCTTTTTCTTATTGACAACATCAGCCTGGTTTTCATATCCATAAACAGAGCAAAGTTGCTTTAGATGAGGTTTAAAAAATGCAAACCACCCGATTTGCCTACTTCACTGTGAATCCGCAAACTAAAAGGTCTCAGTCACGACGCACTTTCCAATTCCAAAAATATATAAAAAAAACGGCACGATACATGACCCCTAAAGTGGCACGCTTGGGTCATTCTGCAAAGTGCTATAATTTCGCTAACGCGTGCACGGAACATGCTGCAGCCAATCAAAGCACGATACGAAAAAGTGCTGTGAAAGACATTGTATTCTTTCCTTGCTTACATGTATTTTTGTGTTTTATAGATCGACCCGCCCTTTGGGCTTGCGCACACTTTTAAAAATCGTGTAACGTTAATTAGTAGATTGCTGCAAAACAAAAATTTCTCTTCAGCGCATGAATTCGTACTTGTAAGCCAACTGACTTACAAGCAAGTTCAGTTCTTGGAAGATGTTTTTCGAAGAGCTTACCTTCGTGTAGTCCTTTGAAGAAAGGTTGCTAGAGACGCCGAACTAGCGTGTTTCTATCCAAGATCACCGCACCACTGCCACGCGCACCAAAATTGTATCGAAACGAAAACGAAGAAATCAAACGTGCACTACCACGACGAAAAGGCCTTATGGCTGGACGGCCAAACGCCAAAGGCTTTTTGATCTGCACTGAGTCGACACTATTCGGGAGTATGTCTTGAAGACCGTGCAACAGGAGTAGCAGCAGACGGTACCGTGTCGTTAGCGGTGGCGCAGGGAGGGTTATTTGCAGACGACGAAAAAAAACTCGCACACCGCCGTCTGCAACAAGCCGCGGTTCGTCTGCTGCCGGCGACTTGGAGTGCGACGTGGGTTCTCCGAGTCCCTTTAGGCGCTCGCTGCGAAACGCCACATTGCAGCAAGACCTCCGGCGCCGCACACGCGATAGCCGAACGATGGACGAATAAATTACACGTGCAGCACTCGTGGGTCGTTTCAAATCACATTGATACGTTCCTCAGATCCCTGTATCATCTAGCAGACGATATATATATTTTTTTTTTTTCAGGCGCTCAGAGTGAACACTTCTGCTTCTGGTTCTTCCGACTTCCGTAGCAGACGAACCAGCACTTAAAACACTCCAGACGACACCGGCGTGGCCTTTGCAGGTTTCTTTATGAAGCACTGAACACGATGGCGCTTGAAGTAGGCGTTACAGGCTTGGAAAGCGTTTGCGCACGCTCGCAGCTGACGTTGTCTCAGAAATCAAATCTGAGAATCCACGATGCTTTGGCGTGGGTGGCAGGCGCGATGCAGACGACCGTCGATGGGATCGAACGCGAGAACGGCGATAAATAAAATGAGGGAATGACTACGAGAACGTACTTTCGACACGAATGAACAGATAGATACACCGAGCAGTTGCAAAAGGGAAGAGCGCACGTCCAGGGCAGTCAACACACGCACTGCACGCGTCGGCGCAGCAAGAAAACCGGCGGGCCCCCAACCGCTCGAAAAGCCGCCGCACGCTCACACAGCGCTCAAGCCGCGGCTCGGGGAGCGAGAGCGGTGCCTGCTGGGATGCAAACCCCCCACCGCGCGACGCCACCGCTCGCAGCCCCGCCACTCTTCCGACACCACACTACAACCTTTCTTTGCTCGATGAGAAAATAGTAAAAGGGCAAGCGAAAAACACACCCCGCCCCCTAACAGTCGCGATACGACGCTGGCGCCCCGAAGCGTCTATCGACGGAAGCAGGGCGCCAACGCGGCGTCGTCTGCTAATGCGGCGCGAGGAAACAAGATGGAGGGTTGAGGGGTGGGGTGTCGTCTGCATCCGGCCCGTAGGCGCATGCGCGCGCGTCGCGTGTCTTGTCTGTCGTCTGCTACTCGGTGCGCGCGGAACGGATGCAAGCGGAAGCGAAAATAAAACGCCGTGTAAAGGCAGTGAGTGAAGGGGACGCTTAAGAGCACTTGACAGTACAAGCGCAGTCCTATTTTGAGTGTCTCGAATAGAGATACTTTCCCCTTGAAACAACATCCGGGTTTAGCTCATGCGGACGCCATCTTTCCATACGTTCACGGTCGCCTTTACTCGTCGCCGAACGGTGTACTAGAAAGCGTCTGTCCTCGCTTGCAGAGCGAGGACCGCACTAAAAAACAACTGCTCAGGGATCGCGGCTATCTCTCGGGCAAAGCACTTGAAAAGAAGGTAAAAGGTGGGGGGTGAGGAGGAAGGATGGCGTGTTACAAACATGTGTTCTCTCAAACGGCGCAGCTGTTCCTTTCGAGTCTTGAGCCCGCAGACGCTACAGAAGGCGTGTGCGATGCAGCCGTCATAAGAGTTCCCGGTCCTTCATCCTTTTTTTTAGATATCTTTTTCTTGCGGTTGTCATCTGCCTTACCGTCTCACCCTCTTAACGGTGACATCTACGTGAGTGAAGACACACGTCTGCAAACGCACGTGGTCTACGTTACTTTCTTTTTTTTTCTTTTTTGAACATGTACAACATGTTTTTATATCGAAGAGCTTCCGCCACGCAAACGTACAGAACTTTAGCAGAGCCGGAGAAGCTATTACGCACATAGAGTTTCCTGTAAATACACTAAAAGGAACTCTGGCGCTAGTGTCTATGGGAGCTGCAACGCACACCACACACTTGATCTAGCAAGGCAAGGACGGGTACTACACAAGTTTGCCTAATCTTCGTTCACACGGCTCCATCTCGCTTTGCGTGGCCGGAGCACTCCGTCACGAGACGACAATCCACAAATTTTGAGCAGTTGCACTTCCGTACCTTAACCTTTTAGGCTCACCAATTCAAATCCTGTCACGAAGTTGACAAGGGTGATTTTTGTTTTCTCGAAACAAAACCGAAATACCGCAATACGCAAAGCCACAAGCACGTTCGAAGCCGCAATCCGCAAGCATGAAGAATAGGCAAATTTGTGTACTACCCATCATTACCATGGTGGCTTATCGCGATGCCAAAGCCCCCTCTCGTTATTTTTAGGAAACGCTATAATTTTGCACACAGTCAAACTCTGCCATTTTGTTAATTTCGTGCTGGAGACCTTTAACATCAATAAGAAAGGTCGTTGAAACCCTCTCGGCCAACAGAGTAGACCGACGGCGCAACATAATAATGATCAGAATGAACCCAAAGTTCGAGTTATTTGTGAGTTTGCGAGAAGACTATTGTTGTGAGGCCTAATGAAAATAAAAAGAAAATGTTGCTTGTATGCCGACGAGTAACCCACATAAACTGACATTGGTGGATTACCAGCATTTCGCTAACGCGAGCGAACTTTACCGATCACTTAATCGGAATCAGCCAAAATTTACCGCTACGAGCCAACAACAGCCACCATTCTCGCATGTTTAGCCAACACGGACCACCATGTCAACCGCCGATAGCCAGCGTTCTGCCACATCCAACAAACATTAATACCCATACTAGCGAATTATAGAAGTAATCTAGCGCTACTTTAGCAACATCAGCCACGATCAGTCAATAACGATCATTTATTTAAAATCCGCCATTACTAATGAATCAGTCATAATTAGCGAACATACAGTACAAATAATTTAGTGATAGTTGGCAAACATCTAATATTACAAATATTTAGGTAATAATTAGCGAGTATTCAATCATAGCAATATATTAGTGACAGTTAGATAACATTCAGTACAACCAATAATTAGGTCATTCAAGGGAAACGGAGTAGCCATCGCCAAGTAATGAAGAAAATAATTCCTTCGTTTCTTTCGTATTGCAATAGAAAGGTCATAATTAGCGAACATGAACCACAGCCACGTGATTCAATTAGAGACGTGACCATGTCCACTACATAAAAAAAAGTGTGGCCCGTTCCATGGCGTCGAAAGGGCGTATCAGGTCTAGTTCTCCTCTGGCACGCTCTGGCGCCACTGCTCCGGTATGACCGTTCACAAAGAAGCGCATTCACAGATGGATTGGCACCTGTGACAGCTACTCTAGTCACCCCGCAAATAACGCGTTTTATTGTTGTACATTAGCGGTATAATATTTAGGCCGTTATTAGAAGTGTCAATAACCCCACACATTGGAACAGTTTGCCCCTGAAGCGCAAATCTCATTTAGAGTGGGCCCCAATACTGTTCATAAAGGCTGCCCACTTGACTCACCTGAAATAGAAAAAAAGCCGTGCTATTAACAATATTCGCGAGTTAAAAGGCGTTCGTTCAATTCTTCTTGGTCAACCTGCAATTATTGTAACTGTTCTTCTTGACGCGCAATTTTATCTTTCATTTTCTTGACTGCTTTCTTCAACTCTTCCATGAGCTGCGCAAAATGTAATATGGTTTGGCAGTCCTCATCTTCAGGTGAGCTACGTTCTGTGCATGATTCTGAGGCCGACTGTAGAACGAGAGCTTCGATCCCCTCTTTCGCAGGACGCCAGGAGCTTTTGATATTGGGGTTTTCACCCGAGCTTTCACAATCATGTGCCCCAACTAATGCATGGTCAGCTGGATTCCTTAGGTGGTTTTTCCGGGTTTTCTTCTTTTTTTCGCACGTAGTGCGGATAACCAGAGAACACAGTCTGCGCCTTAGCCGTGAGCAATAACTAATCTTCGAGTAATCTTTATAAGTTCACTCTCAGTAAAATAAAACAAACATACCAGTCACTGGTCGCTTAGCTCCCTCTTGCTTCGTTTCCCTGACGGACCTGGGCGATAAATAATCTTCGGCCACGCTTTCCCACTCTGTAGATCGCAGAAGAATTCGCGGTACTTCACAGTAACCTCTTCTCTCAGTTCTAGTTCCCCAGCGGCCCACAACAGTCTCACAGCATCACACCGCTAAAAAAAACCCGTCTGCCACACACGCGCACACCAAAGAACTATACTGAAGCACAGGATACGTAAGGAAAGCTACTCCCACACAAGATTACACACACCATATGCACACCAACACGCATGAATCTTGAGGTGACCACAGTGTAGCACGAAGCGACGTCTGCCTAGTGTACTGGAGCAGTGGCTCCCTCACCAAAAACAGCGGCCGGAACTGTCAACTCAGCGGACACGCACTCGCCCATTGATGGCCACGCGACACAACAAGCCACAGCTCCCGTTTTTTTTTTGTTTGTTTGTTACATGGCGGCCGTGGTAATGTGAACTGTTACGCTGTCCGAGATGGCGCCATGTCACCCCAATCTCGAAAACGCAACCCGCAGACTCGTAACGTTGTACGACTCAAGCCGCATTACACGCGTTAGTGCAACTGTCCCACTGCCTTAATACTTCGTCTTTTTTTTTCTCTCTCTTTCTTCAGTGGGCCCACTCTTTGCTCGCTTCCACTTACGCACGTATGGCCACTTGCACGAGCATACGATTTCTCTTTTTTTCGGTGAGTTAATAACGCCACCAGGTCACAACAAATCTTCCTTGGTCACGAATTGCGGTAACCGTGAGCTCGCATAGCGAAAAAACAAATGAAATCGTTTGGGACCGACAGGGTGCGTCCTGAATGCGCATTTTTGGTTTTGGCGCTGCCTTTTTGCAAGGGACATGTCTGTCCATCTGCCTGGTTCGTACTTCCTGCCCGAGCCCCAGCTTCCCACGCATGACATACAATACATGCGTGTATGTTATGCTTTACTCTTTCACTCCTTTTCCTCATCCCCAGCTTCACTTTCCTCCCTCACCTCTGGCTTCACTATACTACACATAATTATACTATAGTATACAAAAAAAAAGGATGGTATTCTACTTCACACTATGCCATCCTTCTTTCCTTCCTCCTCATTCTCGCATTGCATGGTATTCCTCACCCTCACGTCATCTTCTATTCTCCTTGTTATTCTCTACTACGCAAAACTACACCATGCTGTTGCTCCCCATACTTCTTTCCTTCCGCGTCACCTCTCTTGTCTTTCCCACCTCAATGCTATACCATACAACGCATAGGTACGTTATACTAGGAACCTTTTGCTGTATAGTTTTATGCGAACACTGTGCAACTCAAACGACTTTGATGCTCACAGTGTCACGGTAATCCGCAAGTTGCGGGGTCGAATCCCGGCTGTGGCGGCTGCATTTTCGATGGAGGCGAAAATGCTGCAGGCCTGTGTGTTCAGATTTGGTTGCACGTTAACGAACCCCAGGTGGTCGATATTTCTGTAGCCCTCATCTACGGCGTCTCTCATATACATAAGGTAGTTTTGGGACGCTAAACCACACGTATCAATCAATCTGGTATCCCGGGTACAATATGCAAATCAGGAGTATTTCAAATAAAGTGAAGGCACTTTTGTAGAAGTAAGCATTAGAGAGTTTTAGTACTGCGGAATGGTGCTACGTACGCATCACGCAAGCGCCTTGCGTTATGTGGCGTCGTTTGCCACTGATCGGCTTTTAGTACGCCGTAGTACCCGCGTACGTAACGAGCGTGAAGCGTGTTGCGCCATCTGGTATATCAAAACAGAAGCACGTGTTGTTGACAGCCAATGTGAGCCAATCCAAGTGTTATAGCCAGATTATGGCCACATTTTAAGCCGCAGAGCCAGTCGGTGCTTGCCTTCGATGCCGCCATTTTGCAAAACGAAGTCTCGCGCTGTCGCGAACTTGTTCGAGAGCGGCGCGATCAGCTCATACGTACGCACGCACGAATCTCAT